ATAGGAAATATCACGGCACAAGTGTCTTTCTTTATTTTAATATAATTTTAATTCCCATCATATTAAACATAAACATTAATGTTTCTTTTTGTTATAAACATACACCTGAAATATTTATTACATTTAATATTCTCCGATTACACATTATTAAGTCCAACAGAGAAATACATTTTTATAAATATTCTTAATTACGATTTATATTACACAAGTATTAGTAAAGAGCGCGACACCAAAAGACTAGTAATATTAAATAGCGTAGAGTTATAGTGTAATTTGATTTCAATAGATTTGTATAATGAAATAATCAATCATCAGAACTATAGACTGAGCAAAGAAAACAAACGTTTGTGAAACTAACAGTAGCATAAATAACATTAGTAGGACTGTCGAACGGCACGGCCAACTTACATAACCAAAAGACCATTACCACTACGGGATAAAGCACATAAGGTTTTTCAACAGTATAATAGATTAAAACACGAGACCGACGCAAACACAAAGCATCATAAACCCTAAACTCATAACGCCGGGCGGAAGAAAATACAGTTTGAATTGAGGAAAATATGCTAAACGTGACTGATATGGTTTTCGCATAATTCTCTAGACACTGAAAATGTCGGGCAGAAGAAGATAACGGAGACTTAGGGAGGAGAGTATGGCGGCGGGAGGTCGGGACGAGATCTCTGCCGACAACCCCTATTCCGACATCGAGGCACCACTACCGGTAACCCAGGCACGGAAACTCAAAACCATATCAGCGATGGTGGAGGAGGAAGAGAATAAGAAGAAGGAGGAGCGGAGGAAGAAGGCGGAGGAGAGGAAGAAGAAGATGGAGGAGGAGAAGAAGAAGAATGATGGCAAGAAGCGTGATTTCGAATAGGGTATTTTCTGCGGGGGTGGGGGTGTGCGTGATTGGAAGCTATGGCGTCGGTACTATAAGCAGGGTTATAGGGTGACTTGTTATCCGGGTCCTGCCCCCAACGCACAATTCGCTCCTTCCTATTTGGATTTCAAAAAGGATGTACCAGCAGAAGATAACAAGAGATGTATGGGTATATCCGTGGCTGAAATTCGCTAGATGTGTAAGGAATGCATCGCGGGATTCAACGAAAGACGACAGCATTGTGGTCAGAATGATCAGGAACTTGAAACACAGGAGTACAAGTTTGATAAGATCAACTTTGTCACTCTTCTCTGGAAAGCTATAGCTCTTGGCTTTTATCTTACCTTCCAGGCTGCAAGGGTTGATGGTTGCAGCATTAGAACCTTTCAAGCTCAGTATCATTATGGTATGCTTAATCCTTCTGATAGTAAGGTGCTTCTCTTTGAGCTGAAAGGATGTGCTTGATGCCCAATATCGAAAGGACCGAGCAGCTCGTGTCCCTTGCCAACTTCCTAGCTGCGGACCGCCTTAACTTCTGCCTCTTTCCATCCTTGCACACACATCCTTGTTTGTAAATAAATCGATACAATCTGCTTTCAGCCAGCTGCATTATGTTCAAGTAGTAGCCATGTTTTGCCTCATGAGACTTAGCTTTCTGGTATTAAATAGTGGCTCTAAAGTTTAAGCTCCTTCCATCAGGTGTGTGTGGTTGTCAGTTACGTTTGCTTTGGTTTTTGTCTTATTGCCTGAACCAAGTAGAAATATGTAGTAGTATTAATGACTATTTGTATTACGTAGTGCTATCTAACTATTGTGCCTTTTAGTTTTCTGAAGATGCATGGTGGTTCTGATTGTTTTCCTCATTCGTAACTTATGTGAATCAGAATCTTTTGCTTTGATTAGTGCAATTAAAAAGTTATAATGGCTCGATGTTTATTTTTTGTACATGAATATGTTGATGACAACGTAGCATCATAGTTCAATTCCCTAATTTTGTCTTGAAGTCTGTTAACGTTGACGTCTGGTTCGCATCTTCTGGTATATTTGTCTTTACCAAGATTTTGCAGAGAAAACGATTAGGTTTTTAGGTAGAGACGATGATTAGGTTCTTAGGAAGAGTACGATGATTGAGAGGATTTGTACTAGGTTTCTGCATTATGTTGTGCATATTACGTCTTAGGCGTGCTTGTCCTTCATGCACTACAACAAAAATGGGCTATTAATACCTTTATGATGGGATACTTTTCCTAAAATGTGTCTTATTATATGTGTATTAGGACATTTGCTAAAAAATGTCTTATTGAAAATGAAAAAGTGTATTCATATTATAAAACACTATCATAAGTGTACTATTTGGGGTTACTTGTGAACTATTATGTTACTTAATGGGTCACTTTAAAGTATGTTAATGAGTGACAATCTAATAATACACTTTCAAATGTTTTATGACTTATTGTGACTCGATTATAGGAGACACTATTTAGTAGTGTCCCATGCAATTTGAGTCATATGTGTCCTATTACACCACTTATTAAGACACAAAAAAGTGTCTAAACTACTCATTTTTGTTGTAGTGATGTCATTTGTCTAGTATTCAGTGGATGGATGATCTATTTATATTTATTGCAGCTCTATGAATGATTTAGGTATGTTTCAGTTGTTTTTTCTTTCTTCTTTCCGCAGCCCCCAGTATTCTAGATTGTCTGTGCCTGGCTACTGATATGTGTTTGTATTATTGTACTATATGTTAGTGGCAAGGATGATACGATGTGATTACTGTTATCTTCGCATCCAAGAACTAGTTATTCACGAAATCCATTGAACATGTTTTTGCCTTTTCTGGTTTCAAATATGACTTCTCGTTTACCTTTTTTTGTTTATTTTCTACAACATTAGTAACACAGCTTTCAGCACATAGTGCCCGGAAAACATTATTTGCTTCATCTGAAAGTCTGTGTCACTTGTTCCTTCATAAGCTTTTTACCCTCTTCTTACGCATCTTCATCATCTTTTCATTTGATTCTTTCTGATTGTCAAATCATTCTTCAGTTGTATACATATGCTGTTTCGGCTTTTTTTTTTTTTTCCCATAGTTGAGGTAATTGATGGGACTAGGTTGTTTCTACGGTTGTCTTTGTTGGAATTTGGTGAATCACATACGCTGTATCTGAATTGGAATTTTAAAAATGTGGTCATTCCATCAGTTAATATCCCTGAATCTGGTTACCTATATATGTTTGTTTCTTCTCTTCTTTGTCCTATCCCAAACCCAATTGATCAAGTGCTGCTCCTTGCAATCCGATGTGTTTTTCCTTTGATTTTTGGTGGTTCAGTTTTGATCACAATGTCCATATCTTGTTGTATTAATATTGGTGTTGAATTTCAAATTTTTTTGGGTTGAATTTCCAGAGGTGGGAACTCACGATTCGAGTTAAAGCAACAATAATTAATTTAGATGGGAAGTTAAAGCATGGGTAGCTCCGGAGAAGAACCATATTCTTAATGTGCTTTCTCTATATTTCTTAATGAAAGTCATAAGACGTCTCAGATCGATGCCAGTAAAAGGGAGCTACGCAGATTATTGTATATACTGGAAGGTCTATAATGATGGGTTTTTGGTGGTTATTTGGGAGAATAGGGTATGAAATGGAGGACATCATTTCCTGAGTTCTAAAGGTGAGATATATAATTAGTTTCAAATCAATGCCAAAAAGTCAGATAACAGAAAAGTTGGGCACAAATAATACTCAACCTTAAATACTTTGTTTTGTGACTTTGAATGAAAGATTATTTCAAATAAATAATACTCCTCCACAATAAACATTACAAGATTCGATGATTAAATTTCTCAAAGCATTTTTGGATCATGTTTATTTTTTATTTATCAGTCCGGATCAACTTCTACATTAGTCATAGAATGTGGAAGTTATAATTTATCATTCTACCATCCAATTTTCAAAAAATAATGGATTTTATCGTCCATTTTTTTTCGTCAATTTACATAGTCGACCGAAAAATTAATGGATTTAGCTTTTGTCCACTTGTTCGTTGACTTTTCTAGGAGAAACAAAAGGTCAACGCTTACAATTTAATTTATTTTTAATACTTTGTGACTTTTAAATTGATAAATGTATAAATCAAAGAATATTTCAAAAACACTTAGCTGATTGGCCATAACATTTGAGTCAATATACTATGTTCCGAAAAAATAATCTACATAAAATTTTGAAGTTTAATTTTCCACCGATGGAACCATTCAAATGGAACTTATTTGGAAATTAAACCTCTAAACCAGAATCTAAAATCAACAAAGTTACCTTATCTTTCGCATAAGGTCGCAAAGAAAAGAATTCATAGTTAAGTTTTTTTTGTTTTTTTTTCTTCTGAAAGGGTATAGTTAAGTTATAGTAAGTGAAGTAATCTGCAAATGGTGAATACGAATGTGTCGTTATACTTAACAAAGAAATGAAAGTAACAACAATCAGAACACTTAAGAATTAATCATCACAACCATTTTCTTAAGAAAATGAACCTTTGCTATAATTCCTGCACAGACCATTTGCTAATGTGGATTTTTTTTTTATTTATTTTTTTTATCTAATTAGAAGAAAATGAGCTATGCTAAAAGAACTCAGTTTAAAGCAGAAGTGTGTCTGTATGAGATGAGGTCCCAGGAAGTCTTAAGGCACGTTCTTTTCGATTAGAAAAGTAACAAATCAAGACCAACACCACTACATAACACCGTCAAGACCAGCTAAAAGCGCAATCAAAACCTATGTCTGTTGAAAGCAACAGCTATATTTTTGCAGGAAAGAAACAACAAAGAGAGAAGTGAATCTGAAACTAAAACTCGTGGATAGCGTATGAAAATCGCGCGGTAAAACCAAGGGGTAGTTAAATCCCGCAAGTTGAGCAAAACTAAACAAAGAAAACTCAATCGCGATCTTAGAGAAGACCTAAAACTTACCATATTGGCTTTAAATCCTGCATCATAAAGAAATATCAAATAAAAACTACGGAAAACATTTACAAAATATTGGTTTCTCAAAAACCGGAATCTGAAGCAAAAATCACAGTAATAATAACATTTTCTTCAAAATTCTTCAAAAACCTTTATCTGCTTTTTCACGTTATCACAAATAAATATAGAATTTAAAACAAGACCAAGATAGAATACAAAATACACGCAATGTTCAGCAACACTTTTGTGTTACCTCCTTCATTATTTAAAACTGAATAATTACCCAAAAGTGGGTGCATCCATCAAATTTTCACGTAATGTTACAAGATGTGATCAAAAATGAAATTTTACAGATGAGCGTAAATAAAATTTTAACAAAGTAACAACTGTACTACAAATTTAATTTCCAATGGAGTCGTCATGAAGAACCCAATGCTGGCCATCGGCTTCCACCCGGAGATGCTTAACCTTGGCGAACAACTGGACCGCCCTCCGGACACCTCTGTTATCGGCGGCGGTGAAGTAGTCGTGGCCGAAAAGCACGCCGCCGGGCCGGAGAATCTTGTAAGCCCGGCTAATATCCGACCAAGCGGAATGAAAATCGTGGCCGGCGTCGACCTCAATCAAGTCGCCGTAAACCCCCCACTGGCAGAGGCTCTCCAGACCCGACCCGGTCGAGAACGGCAGGAAGATCACCGACTCCGACGCGTTGGCTTGGATCACGTTCTGCATGAACTGGTACAGCAGCATGACGTCGCCGTTGACGGTTCTGATGTCCTTGTCCTTCTGAAACCCGGGCCAGCCCCGGAAGTCGTCGACGCAGAGGATCTGGGTGTCGGAGAGGCCCAATTCGCGGGTCAACTGGACCATGTGGAGCGCCGAGGCGCCCAGGAAAGTGCCCACCTCGATTATGATCTTGGGCTTGACTTTCTGGATCAGGTTGCGGAAAACGGCTCCGGTGGATCCCCAGCCATGGATTTTCCTGGGCCGGAGGAATTTTCCGACGTGGGGTGGTGGGAAATCGGACCAAGGGGAGACTCCGCTGAAGACCCGGTCAATGATGGTTTGGCGAACGAGTTTCGGGTTCGGGTTTGGGTGATCAACTGCTGCCGGGCATACCGTTCCGAAAATGTTATGATCATCGGAATTGATTATATCGACGGGATGATCCTCGCGTTCAATGATGCCATCATTTTTGTTTTCAACAGTGTTTTTGGTTTCAACCGAAATGGATTCCGATGGCGGTGGCGGCAGCGGCAGAAGAAGAACCGGTTTGGACGCACTGTATTTGCCTAAAGAGTAAGCTAAGAAAAGAAGCAAAGTGAAACCAATAGTTTTGGTGTAGTTGTTTTCCGACCAAATCTTACCCCGGAAACGTAGTGAGGACGTCGTGGTCGTCGGCGGCGGCACCGGTGGCAATGTTGCTTTCCTCATGGCTGCTGCTGCTGGATGGTTATACATGGGATGATGATATTTTTGGAATTTGGAAGTATGGCTGAATTTCTAGCTGGAAGATTTTGTTTGGGTTTTTTTTTTGCCACTCAAATTTGAACTTTGAAGTTGAATGGATTGAATTATCCATATGGAAAATCTGGATATCAGTTTTTGATGAACTTATAAAGAGTGAGTTTGTTAAACAATATTAAAAGCCCTGTTGTTATTTTTCAAAATATTAATTTATGGATGTTACTTACATATATACTTCATTTGTCCGGTGATGGATGCACAGAAGTAGGAGAGTAGTGATGATGATGCTGGATTTCTGGACTAGCTACGCCATTGACCTTTTGGTATTTTAATTGCTAACCACGGGAATCAATATCGATATTTTATTTTTCATTCATCAAGGATTTTGTGCATTTTATTACTCTACCAATCCTTTTTCATTTGTTCAGTGTTTTTACGAACGGAAGTTTTATGTAAAAAGTCGTGGTTACTGTCGCTGTCGTTATTGTTTTGTACCATTTCAAATATTGATAAATGGAATGTATTCAAATGACAACATCCCTCACCGTTTACTGCTTCCTTTAACCCTTCTTAAATCACTTCTATTTACACTTTAGTATGAGTATTGATGAATTTGAACCAAATGGCCACGCTTAGAATTTTAGATTTTACTTAGTATTGAAATCTTATTTTCCCCTATTATTAGTGTCATATAATTATATCACTCTTTGTAACGAGGTTCATTGATAAAAATTCGCTGTAACAAATTTTCTCTGAGGTTCGGAGAAAATTTCAGCTAATTTGTACGATTGGTGGAAGTTTTTTAAAGATGTTTCTTTTTCTTTCTCTCTCTCTTTTTCTCATTTTATTGGACTCGTGAATCGCAACTAGAGAATATAATCTCGCAACCCTCGTGATAATGCTAGATCTTACAGCTAATCCTCCAAATTAAAGATTTTTGTTAGAAGAACTTTTTTTTTTTTTACATATCTCGCTTGTAACTAGCTAGATTCCTGTCCAACTAAAGTTCTTCCTCAATTACAAAGAAATTTATGGTGATGTTATTATTAGAAGAATGTGATCACTTGAAAAAGATATACGATGGAAAGTCAATTTTGGTAAGCCATTGTTGTCTTTAACCAATGAAGATTCCTTTTGTTGAATATATATATACACAATAGTCTATCGCTTTCTGCCTTGTTCCGTGCTGCATGCATTAGTAGTAGAAAATTGAAAGGCTATAAAAATATGGAATTCCTAACTACACACGCCATTATCGATCGAGATTTTCAATATACTTGATGATGATGATAAGTATTTGGAGAACAAAAATATAGTTGACATTCCGTGGCCTAAAATTATATTCCTAGAATTAAATTTCTGAATTTTGTAGATATATTAGCAAGGGGGCTATGTATTATCTTTAATCAACAGAGAACAAATATTTATATACATGTACCAAGAACTTTTTTGCATTCTCCTTTGCAGATTCGGGATTGTCACCAAGCATGCTCGATCGTTTGGCTCAGTCTCAATCACTACCTTGTACTTATTTTATTTTTTTTTTATGATCAATAAAATTTAGAAAAATCTGTCAAATACCGTTTTAGTTAAACTTTAAAAAAAAAAAAAAGAACTAATTGTGCTCTGATATGTGATTCTATACCGTTAAACAATGTATCGCGCATATATATCCAATATTCTTACATGCCACTGTGTTACCTGATGATCAATTAGAAATGAGTTTAACCTATTTAATCAAGTCTGTATGAATTTTGTTTTTTTTTTTCCGTCAATAAAAAATGCAAACAAAAAAGAATAAGACATTAATTTGACCTTTCTTTCTTAAATTTCTTGCATGGGATTGACGAAATTCTTCATGAATTTGTCATTGAAGAAAACTTTCTAGCTAAATAGTAAATATATTTACATTTGCTAGGGTAAGCAAGACTGAATTGATAAGATATTTAAAATTAAAAAAAAAAAAACTAAAAGAAAAAATGTTATAAGATCATAGGAGATTATTTTGTGATGCTGTACCGCAAGAATTAACAAGTAAGTTGATAAGGACATGCGAATGCTGGAATCTTAAGTTGGTGACTTGATTTTATCCATTTTATTACCCTAACAAAACTTTTCTTGGTACGGTGTTTCATCAACAGAAGTTATTTAGAAGTCACTGTCACTGCCGTCACAATCTTGCACCATTCAAAAAAATCTACTTCCCTCACCGTTTATCACTTCCTTTAACCCTTCTTAAATCACTTATATTAACGCTAGTATTGGATTTTTTTTTATTTCTTTATTTGTATCATTACAATCATATTATATCACTACCTGTAACAAGTTTGGTTCATTGATGAAAATTCATTCGTAACAAATTTGTCTGGAGTTTGGGGAAACATTCCAACTATATAAACATATTCATACCATTGTTGAAAGTCTTCAAAATCTGCGACCTCATGATTCTAAAGGTGCTTCCTTTCTCCTCTTTTTTCTTTTTTTTTTTGGGCCCCCCATTACTTGAATCTTGACCTAGAATTTATAATCTCTCACCCTGATCATGATGATGCTAACTCTTACAACTAATCAAAGTTTTTAGTTAGAAAAAGAAAAAAACAAATGTTTTTTCTCTTTTGGAACTAGAGTTCCTCTCCAACTAAAGTTCTTCAATTACAAAGAAATGTATCATGTCTATAACGTTTTATTAAGAGAATCTCACTTGAAAAAGATACAATGGAAATTCAATTTTGGTAAGCCATTGTTGTGTGCAACCAACGAAGAGAAAATTCGTTTGCGGAATTTATATACCAACTAATAGTTTTTTTTTTTTTTTTGGGTTAAATCTGTGAATATATTGATGAATGGCAGCTTTAAAAGCACATATTTACACCCAAAGCCACCTATTACATCAAAACAACCACCTCTACTTCCTGTTCACTATACAGATTAATAGAAAAACTTGTGCAAAGTTGTTTGTTCTCTATCAGATTTTTTCCTTTTTAAACTATGCTCAGCTCTCCATTTTACTTCTTGCTTGATCACAGCCAATATAGCATCTTCATTCCTACACTGATCTCTAAAAATTTACAAGTTCCGTTCCTCCCATACATGATAAATCACTGAAGCCATAACTGCAAGCAAACATGACTTTTCTTTTTAGAGTGGATTTTCTCCAACAGATCATGATGCGTTTCCTAATCACACACGCCGTTGTCGATCGGGATGTTTTAATAACTGGTGATGATAATTGTTTGGAGAACAAATTATCGTTGACATTCTGTGGCCTAAAATTCCTCCCAGCAACAAACAATAATAATTTAATTTTCTGATTTTTGTAGATATATTATATATTATTAGCAAGGAAAACAACTGTATAATTTTTAATCAATAGAAAAAATATTTATACGCATGTACCAAGAATATTGTTTCTATTCTCCTTTGCGTATTTTGTATTAATAATTGTCACTAAGCATGCTCGTTTGGCTCAGTCTTAACAGGACTTGTAGTTTTTTTTATAATCAGTAAATCTGACATGTCTATTTTTAGTTAAATTAGAAAATTAATAAATAGTAATTGTACTCTTTTATTTTTATTTTTTTACTCTATATCTTAGCACGTACAATGTAGAGTGAACATCGAATCTTACATACCATTGTGTTACCTGATGATCAATTAGAAATGAGTATGAGTTTGACCTATTTCATCAAGTTTGTTATGATTTTTCCTATTTTTCTCCTATACACAGTGCAAACAAAAAGCATAAAACTAATTCGATTTATTTTAAATTTCAGGCATCGTCACAATACAGATTGATAAAATTCTTCATGAGAAGTGTCATTGAGAAAACTTCCTACCTGAATATATTTATATTTGTCAGGGTATGCAAGAGTGAATCGGTAAGATATTAAAAAAAATGTGATTTGTTCTTGAATTGAGACAAGATTTAGGAAATTTCTTACGAAGGACTTTGAATTTATTGGGTATTAAAGAGTTGACTGGAAGACAGTATGTTCGGAAGAATCACAAGGTGGGCTCGGAATTAATCAATCCTTTGATTCCTTGTAATCAAGCCCTTATGGTTAAGCACATATTGTCTATTTGGTAGACGACAACAAATCCATTTGGGTTCAATGGGTGAAAAGATATCGAATTGTTGGATTATTTCTCCAAAATCCAAAACCCGTTAAGGTTAGTTTATTATTAGTCCGGTTAGTGAGTTATGACTTTAGTATAAATATGTAAGGTTTGTACTAAAATCAGTTGGAGAACACAATGTAACCGTCAAGAAGAGATGAAAAAAAAAATAGAAGTGAGGGCCATAGACAGTGTCTATTGAAAAAGGCTCTACACTGGTGAACTCTTCTATTTTCCAAATCTAATAGTGATGGTGTGTTTTTTAGTGCACGTATATCTATTGACATATCAAACCACGTTAAATTACATGGTTATTATGTGTTTATTGGGTTATCTCCTCAAAGTCCAAAGTCCGTTAGGGTTGGGTTATTATTAGCTCGATTTGTGAGTTAGAATTTTAATATAACCCCACAGACAAGAAGATGGAACTGAAATATTCCAAAAATATTTTTCACCAATTCGTGTTGGGGATTGAATAAACTCCTTAATCATAGACAATTAACACACACAACAAAAATCAAACAAACAATAACCAGTCAATTTATCGTGATTCGATCTCTCAATAGATCTACATCAACAGAAAAACACACCATCATTATTATATTTGAAAAATAGAAGAATTTACAAGTGTAGAGCCTCTCTTGATACATAGTCCCTCAATTATATTTTTCCTCCCATCTCTCCCTGACTCTTACTTCTCCAATTGATTTTAGTACAAACCTGATGTTAAAAATACGTCCTAAGATTGTACAATTGTTTAATTATCACAAGTGGGAAATGGAGAATCATTTCCGTTTTTGTGGGATCCTAGGCATCCAATAAGCATTCTTGGTCAACATTTGTCTAGAGCCATCATGGTTATGGGACCCAGGGGCGGAGCCAGGGGGTGGCCAGCCGGTGCCGAGGCAACCCCTCGGCTTTAAATTTTTTTAATAATTAATATTAATTATTGAGAAAAAAAGTAATTTATTTAATTTCGCACCCCTTTTAAAATTTTTCTTACTATAACATTTTAATCAACTTTGATACAAAAATCTAAGATAATAATCTTTTTTATTCTTCGAACTTCTAAATCTGAAGGTAAGAAAATGAAACAGCAAAAATTTTTCAAAAAATATTATTAAGTTTAGTTTTTCTCATGATAATTGATAATGATGTAAAATCCCTTGCTAACAATAAAAGAGTACAAGTTAAGGTCCTAAACAATTGTAATAACAGACATATGAGATTCAACTAAAAACTAAAATCAACACGAA